TTATTTATTTATTTATTGGTACCAGGGATCAAACTTGGGACCCTACTCTTGCAAGCCAGGTGGCAGCACCACAGCTAAATCCCTGGCAATATGATTTGTTTTAAATTGATGTCTCAGATGATAAAGCACCTTCATATTTCCTGGGTAAATTTCATGTCTTCTTTCGTGTAATAGCTTTTGCCTGTTCCAAGATTCAGTTTCTCATGCTTTTCTTGAAGATTCTTTCTCATATTAATAAGCAATATTTATCTATATTTTTCTTTTTTTCTGATGTATTTGAATGTTTTTCATATCAAACCTCATTGAATATGTAAGTAAGTTTTCTGTAATTTTGGATGATTTTCTTGGAGATTTGTTGTTATTTGTTGTTGTTTCCTCCTTAAATGCATCTATGAAATGTTCTGGGCCTGGTCTTTACATTGAGTGTAATTTCTATTACTAATTCAGTCTTCTTATGTTATAAATGTATTTTGATTTTTTCCACTGCTTGTGATTTCATAACAGAATATCTATCAGGATTTGTCCATTTGAACCAGTTAATTTGCTAGTGTCCAACTGTTCATCATATTTTCTTGTAATTTTTTTATTTTTTACACCTGATAGTAATGTCTTCAATATCATACCTGATTTTATTAATTTTAACATGTGTTTTTCTGGGTCAGTCTTTCTAGAGATCTGTTAATTTTATTTATCCTTAAAAGCATCAATTTTCAGTTTTGTTAATTCTATTTTCCCCCATTTTGGTTATCTCAACTAAAATGATTATCATTTCCTAACATCTGTCAGTTTTAAAAATTGTATAAACATATGAAGATACGATGATGCTTTCAAACATTGTTTTCTATTCTCTGTATTAATTTAAAGGCATAAATTATCTTCTGATGCTGTTTCTCCACAATTTTGGTATGTTTTAAAATTATTAATTTATTTTCTAATTTTCCTTTGGTATCATCATTGATTCATTTGTTATTTAGGTTTATATCAATTACTGTGTAGTTCTGAATTTCTCTTCATTACAAAATTTTAATTTTATTACGTTGTTTTTATGTAACATATGGTTTTGGGTTATTTTTGGGGTTTTTTTTGGTGGTACCAGGGACTGAACTCAGGACCTTGTGATTGTGAAGGAGGTGCAGTGCAACTGAGATGAATCCCTGGCCCTATGTCACATACTTTTTATGTCAGTTCATTTAAATTTATTGAGAAGGCTTCTTAAAAAAATTAAATTCTTTTATTGGTACATTGTAGGTATACAACACAATTACATTTCTCATTGGGAATTGTACCTTTACATAATGCATCTTGGT